TCTCCTAAAAGAGAAATAAAAATTTATTCAGACTCTTCATCAACTCAAAAACTAACACCTCTGGAAATGGAAACATTAATTTTCTTAGAGCTATAGCTATTGAGGTTCTTATACACTTCACTAAAATACTGGCGGTGTGATTAGGGTACCAGAGTTAGTGAGTACAGGGACAACTGGCAATAGAAATTTCATATTCATGAAAAGTTGAGCCTTTCACTTAAAATACTTTGATGAAGAAGGCATTTTATCCTCAGGAAATCCTGCACTACCTTTATACACTAAGACTAGGTGAGATCTTTAGTTTTCCAATGACTTTCTTCCATAAAATACCTCGATGAAGAAGGCATTTTATCCTTAGGAAATCCTGCACTATATTCATACACTATGACTTGGTGAAATCTTTAGTTTTCCAATGACTTTCTAACTGTAATTAGAAAGGCTGTTTTAATACCTATTGCCCAAACCAGTTTATTGATGAACCTAATTCTTGAAAAGGACCCTAAATTAGTTGAGCTTTGATATACAAATATCAGATATTTAAAGAATTATCTAAGTAACTCTAAAAAGATAAATCCCTTAGCAATTTTGTATTGAAAGAAACAAACAAAACCCTAGTAGTTTGGATATCATTATTCTGATGTTTTGTTTTCCCTATTTGTACTTTATTTTAGCTGCCCTGCAGAGTGTTTTTCCTCAGGCTGAGCTTGGAATGTTTTTAACTCTTTCTAAAAAGGACAAAGAGTGCCAGCTGAAAGAACTCACCATGATTGTTACTGGAATTCGTTTATTTAACAGAGACTGTGGGAAAGGAGGAGAAGGCATTGATAATTGTACGTTTATTAGGTTAATTCTATATATCTGTGATCATTTTTATAGGGCTAAAATTTTGTACCATGAGAAAAGGAATACAAAGCATACCATTGACATTCTTCTTCTTGGTTTGTACTGTTAAGTCAGAACTCACTCATAGCTGACTCTTCAGGGGGGTTTGAGAGGCTGTAAGGTGCATAAGAGGAGATTGTTCATCTTTCTCCTGTCAAGCAGTTGGTAGATTCAAATCATGTGCCTTTGGGCTGACAGCACAACCCCTTGTCACTAAGCCACTGGAGAGAGCTATCTCATTCTTATATTTACTATTTGCCATTTTGGTTATTCCTGAGAGACAACTAATATTCACAATATGTAGTAATTTTAAATTTTTCTGGGGCAAAACTTTAAATTTTATGCACTGTAAGGAAAACTATTTAAGTATGGGATAGTGAATTGGATGTTGTGATTCAGTGAAAAGGATGGTGAGGCAAGCCCAGAAACTCAACAACTATTTGCTATTGAATTGGAACTGAGTCATAGCTGACGCTCCAGAGAGTTTTCAGAGGCTGTAAATCACACAAGAGGAGATTGCCCACATTTCTCCCATGGAATAGCTAATGATGGATTCAAACTGTCCACTTTTGGCCTGGCAGTGCAGTACTCTACCCACTAGGCAATGCTTCTCCATATTGTGGGCACTTCTAAAATGAAATATCACCCTTAAAGTTTTTCATGCCGTTAATCAAATGAAAAAGTCCAAGAGAAGATATTTGCAAACCTATAAACTTAGAAATGTCTGTTATGCTGTTATACATTTAATGTGCTCTTTATCTAGGTCTCTAAAAGCACTCATAATGTATTCGACCAAGAATATACTGATTGAAGAAACTTCCTTATCAATTTGGTACTTGTGTAGGCACACTAGTCAAATGTTAGTGTTTTACCAGGTACCATTGAGTCAAGTATGGCTCATAGTGACCCTGTGAACAATAAGAATGCTGAATATCCCATGGATTGACAAAAAGACAAGCAAATATGTATTGGAAAAGGTGAAACCAAGGTGTTCCTTGGAAACAAGGATAGTGAAACTTTGTCTCACATACTTCAGACATGTTATTAGGGGGATCATTCCTTGGGAAAAGCCATCATGATTGGAGAGAGGGTCAATGAAGGAAAAGAAGATAGTTTGACACAATGACTGTAATGGTGGGGTTGAGATGGTCAGGATGGCCCATGGTACGGCAGGGTTCAGATTTTTTGTTCATAGGTTTGCTATAAGTTGTTGTTGACTTGATGGCACTTTATAACAACAAGAAGCCACCAGAGATCCCTTGTTCTTATTGACATATCAGTTAACTTGTCTGACAATTAAACCATGAGATTGAAATAATTTCCAGGCCTGAAGGATTACTAAAGATCGTAGTCTCAAGAATTTCACCAATCTATTGTCTGATCAGTAAACTTGTTCTTTTTTATTATTTTCCCCCCTATTTTGTTCCACTCTTTCCTCCCACTTCATCTAGGACATTTTAACATAGACCTTTTCAGAGTGATCAACATTAGTAGTGGGCCACCATCTAGTCTTGAGGTGGTGGAGGCTGATGTCCTTTTAGTCCTTGGTGTTATTTCCATACATCTTTGATTGTCTTCCTTTTCCTCCAGATGAGGAGAAACTAATACTTGCACCTTTGATGGCCACTCACAAACTTTTAAAACTTTTTCTGCTTCTAACCAAAGTGATGTGTAGAATGTTTTCTTGCTATCTGTGCCAGTTGACATTGATATTTTAATAGGCTGGTATTCAACATTTTTAAATTTACAAAGTCAAATTGCCTTTCTGGATAAAATGTTTTCCCTTTTTAGACTATTGCAATCTGCTTTTTAGTGTTCTAATGAGTTTGTTGAATACCTTGTATGTTTATTTTTTACCAACATAAAAGTAGATATAAAAGGAGAGTTGACTGACTCTAAGAGTTTGCAGTCATCAGCCACATAATAACAAAGCCTGCCAATTTTTTAGACTATTTTAATGGCAAAGCTAGTGTACTTTAAGTTTGAGTTATAATTCTATCAGTATCTTTTGTTTGCATTAAGTGTTTTTGTATCCCTTCTGTAATGAATTGGTACCCAGAAGACACATTATTTTGTTATTTTGTTTGAGAGAAGGAAATAAACTGTGATAATGAACATATAACCACTTTTGGATTTCTTACTTCTTAATTAATTTAGACTCCTTAATGGCTCTTTCTTAAACCTTGAAAAACAGTACCAGCTATTCTACAGGAAGCAATCCCAGCCACTACTCAACATATTGATAACCAACTTCAGATTGCACAGGATCAAGTCTACCGCTATACAGCCATTCTGGAAAAAGTAGCACAGAACACACTCAATACTCAAGAGCTTCAGTTGTATATGTTAAAAGAAGCACTGTATAATATGAGACAATATGAAATATTCCTTCAGATAATCTTGGTGAGTTAATGTCACAGTGTCTTGTCTTTTGTAGATAATGGAACCTCTAAATATTGTGAGACTAAAATAAAAGTAGTTAGCAAGTCATTGATTAAAAAAGTCAATCTCAAAAGCTACTCAGATTACATTTAGACCTGCAGGACCAAAGGCTAAAATAAGGTAGGGGACACGAGCTGCAGCCCTAAGATAAGGTAAGTTGTCAATTGTCTTTGGTATTTGGTAGTGTGACTGTCAGCATGCTAGTGTGTGTCTATGTGTAAGCAAGATTAGTGTTTGTTTTAATTAGAAACAAGTACCTATTTTGCACGTAATTATTATTCAAATTATTTTCATCTAATTATTTGTTTTTATTGTGATCCATGCAAAAATCACTGAAAATGTTTATTATTTCTAATGCTTTGAGATTTAGTGTATAAATATAACAATTACCCAAACAAAGACTTTGAAAAGATTTTTAATTATGGTTGTAATTTCCTTTTTTTTAATGTCCATATCAGCTTTATTAACCATTGCAAGGACATAGAAACAACCCAAAAGTCCAAATATAATTGAATGGATTGTGAAATTATAGTACATTCACACAATGGAATACTACACAGCATGCAGGAGCAGTGATTTTATAAATTACTACATAATTTGGGAGGGACTGGAGAGCATTATGCCACGTGAACTCAGTCCCATAAGGACAAATATGGTATAAGACCATTATTTTTTTTTAATAATTTTAATTAGCATTTACAGAGATTTTGGATTTCCATTAATTCATTGCTGCACTTCTCTCCCTGCCCACCCCCCCAGTTCGCTCCTCTCTTTCAAAAGTAAAAGAAACACTCCTTCCCTAGTACACAATCCCCCCGCACCCCTCCTATCGCCCCAAGTACATTTCACTATGCAACCTTAATTGTGGAATCTTGTGATAACCATAAGACCCTATCATACATCACTTTAAAATGATTCACTCCTTCATCTGTTTCAGTGCAGTATACACAATTTATCCAGTTTTTCTCAGTCTTACCCCAACCCTGATATCAGTCCCATTTTACAACAGTGGCACCATGCAATATTTGTCCTTTTG